AGATAGCTCAAGATGGCATCCAGCCTGCGTCCGAGAGGCCCCAAAACCGTCCCAAGACAGTTCCAAGTGGCCACAGAGCTTCCCACAGATACCCCCGAGAGGCCGAAATCGCTCGAAAATAATATGCGGCTCCATTGCATTGGCAACCTCGCCCTGTCGCTTCCGATGAGCTTCTGAGGCCTCAAGATGGCACCAAGATCGGCCAATGGATTCGGTGTCAACTCATGGGAGCCTCCACTACCATCTTGTCGGCTCTTGCGAATCGACGCCAACGCCAATCGACGCAAGTCGACGCTAATCGACGCTAAATCGACGCTACATCGACGCTAGCCGACGCTGAACGACGCTAAATCGGCACTATCTCATCGACTCCCAAGCATGAATCGACGCTAATCGGCGCTCCAGACGGAACTGCGAGGATATACCAGGCCCCCATGACCTGCGACCGAAAATGGGGCCCCGGGAGGGGCCCGGAAGCCGCACTCCGAGACGGCCCCGGCAGCGCCCAAGAAGAGCGATGCGAGTGCGTGTCACGGGGCAACCCCGAGGATGAAGGGGCCCTGGGACACACAACTAAAAAGACACCAATAACAAGATTCCCCCTATTCTCCCACATCTTCTGGGCTCTTGTCTTCCCCCCCACTTCCCATCTTTTCCCATCTGTTCTGGGTAATCGACGATGAATTTCGTCTGTGTGATTTTGTTCCCTCCTGAGAGGAAGCGGCGCCTTGGGCCTCGGGCCCCGGCGCGTGGAGGCCCCCCTCCCAGTCGCTCCAGGCCAGGATCGCTCGGGCAGGGGATCGACCACAGGACTGGCTTGCCCCAAAAGCAGGGGATCGACCACAGAACAGGCTTTCATGAGATTCGAGCAGGGGATCGACCACAGAGCTGGCGTGCCCCAAAAACACTGATCTATTCGCAGAGTCTACGAAGCGTACGTCGAGTGCTCCGGAGATCGACGGAGCAGTCGACGCAGGCGTTCGCAGATTGGACGGCAAGATCCAGCGGGGTAAAGCAGTTCTGTAGTCGATCCCCTACGCGAGTCATGGAAGCCTGAAAGGTTTGCATGGGTTAGGCCTCTCGGGGCCATCCGTGGGAGGGTTTGGGACCAGGTTGGCTCCATGACGACTCCCGACGCCTTGAAGATTGCCTCCAAACATGGCGCAAGATTATCAGAGTTGGCCCAAGATGGTCACTTGCATGCCTGCAGGAGGCCCCGAGACGGCTCAAAGACTGCTCCAAGTGGCCTCGGAGCCCGTCAAGGAGAGGCAAAAATCCATCAAAAATAATTGATGGTGTTTCAATGATTGCTGCATTCTCACCGCTTCCGCTTCTGACGGGCCTCTGCGACCTCAGAGTGTGGTCCAAAGGTCACCCAAGGGAGCCCCAGGCAAGGTCCAGGAGAGCTCCAGAACTGCCCCGAGACGGCTCAAAGACTGCTCCAAGAGGGTCCTGGTGGGCCCCGAGAGGCAAGCTGTCCGTACGAATCCGACGGGGCGGCCCGTGCTTCGATCGATGGCGTCCTGGGCAGGCCCCAGCAGCCCCTGAAGGCCCCAAAGGGGGCCCTAAGAGAGAGCCCCACGCCAGCCGCGAGGGCCCAGACAGGCCTCTGAAGAGGCCCCGGGAGGGCTCCAGGCTGGCCCAAGCAAGCTTCCGAGAGACTCCCGTGCTGGAGCGCACGCGACGGCATCCCTGCTCAACTCCCGTCGGGGTGACGTAGGACTCGGGAACGGGGGACTCGGCTTGGCCCGACGGGGCCACCGTAGAAACGACGAGGCCCCATCTGAAATCTGACGCGAGCTCCCGCTGCAGACACCCCACGCAAAAGTGGACCGTCAGCACCCGGGACGCGCTCGTCAGAGAGGCGTCGGCAAACCCGAGCTCCGGCCTCCTCGAGCCTCACGCTTCCCCGCTCCTGGGCCCGCGGAGAGGCTGCTCCCCGAAGGCTCGGCCCGACGGCCGCCGCCCTCGGGGTGCCGCTGCCCGCCCCTGCGCCCTCCCCCGAGCAGAGCAGGAGGCGCGCCCGGAGCACACCGCTCCTGGAGGGGGCCGGCGGGGAGAAGCGCGCGGAGCGTCGAGGATTCGCAACAGGCCTGGAGCGGCGCACCCCACTGCGCGGCAACAGGGCGTGCTCGGTGGCACGGGCGTCGATGCGAAGAAGAAGCAGCGCCGTCAGCAGAAGCTTTTGGCGCTCCGCGCGGACTTCTTGGATCTGCGCTGGACCCCCCTCTCCCTGGCGCGCGGAGCGCGCCAGGGGCAGCGCCGGAGGCGCCGCCAGGGCGCCCCAACGCGGATCCAAGAAATCCACGCGGAGCGTCAAAAGCTTGTGTTGACGGCGTCTTTCCTTCTTCGAATCGAAGGCACGGCGGGCCGGCACACCGCTCTCAGGCGCAGATCGGCCGGGCGGCGGCCTCACCAGAGGGGCCCGGCTGCAGCAGCTGCTTCAGCAGCTCGCGGCTGGCCGCCTCGGAGGTCCGCGGAGCGAAGGTGCACTCCAGCG